GCTAAGTCAGCTTTCTTTGCAGTACTAATAACGAATTTGTTTAAAACAAGTTATAGGTCAAATGCTGTAAACGTTTGAAATAGAATTAAGTGTTATTCATTTTCTAATTTTATCAAAACAAATTATAACTTACTTTCTCAAATTATTTTCTCCAAGTTTATACAAGTAGCATTTTCTTCTTGCAAAAATGAATTGTAGAAATTTCCAATGCCGTGCTCTATGCCGATTTCCTGACGTTGACAGTACTGTCTACGCAAATATGGTTTGCAAAAGGTTGCGCTTTCGTCCCAATCAGTAAAATTTTTCGTTGCTTATTCTTATTGTTTTGCAAAGCTTAATATCTCTTTTTAACACCATAAAAAATTATTAGAAAATTGGCTAAATATCTCCTTTCTTTTTTTTTTATTGTACAAAACACAAAACTTTAATTTTAGTTTCAGCTACAACAACAACGCCCTTTCCCAGGAGGGCGCCTAACAGAAACTTCTTTTTCAACTTCAAAAAAGTTCAAAGAATAGGTAAGATATAAATAGTTGCATTTTGTACTCTACGAAGATTAATAATAATGATCAAAAGAATGTTTTTTTGTTGCAAAACATTTCAAGTTTAAAACTCAACTGCTCAATCATTTTCCAAAAAGAATGTATGTCAAAAATATAGCTAAAAAGCAAGTTACTTCTCAAAAATTGTAAGGTTTCTAGCAAAGAACTCCCTTTAACTCTTTATCATATTGAACAGTGGCATCTCAAGATAGCATAAAATATCATAAAATTTATAATTACTAGTTTAAAAACTATTTTTTCGTTTGATTATAATTTTAACACAAGAAATAAAAGCTTAAGGTCTTTAATTGAGCACAATCTTGAAGTAATTTATGCTCTCACAACAGCAGACAAATTTTTGAAAGCACTTAAAAACTTTCGATAATCCTCAACATTATAGTAGACATGAGCTGCTCTAATATCTCCAATTTTATCCTATTTCGTTCGTAGTATATTCTACTACAAGACGTGGAAAAAAAATATTGGGGCAAAACCATGATTCCGCCAAAAGACTCTTTTATTCACTAAAACTCAGACAAACAAAAAAAAAAACAATTTTTGCGTTGAAGAAACTTCTCTTCGTTGAGTCAACAAAAAAAAACGAAAGCAGCACAGCTCAAGAGGAACATTTAAAACACCGTAAAAACAATAAATACTTTGAGCTGGTCGAAATGATCAAATTACAGCTAAAAAGCGACTAGTAACTGCTAAACAATGCAAACAATGATGAAAACAACTTTTGTTTTAGTTAAAGCAAAGTGTCCGCCTCCATGTTACCATCCAAGATGCCCGCCAGTCCCTCCTCATTGCCTTCCGAGACCTCCTGAACTTCCCGAACCACCAGGTCCTCCAGGTCCTCCAGGTCCTCCAGGAACGCCAGGACCACCAGGTATGCCTGAAAAACGAGGACCACTTGGATTTCCAGGAACGCCAGGAATTCCTGGCTCGCGCGTACCTCCAGGAAAACGAGGAAAACAAGGTTTACCAGAGCCTCGCGGTTACCCAGGACTTGCAAGCCCTCCAGGACCTATGGGGTGGCCAGGTAAACCAGGAAGACGAGGGAAACAAGGAATACCTGATTTTCCAGAACCTCCTAGACCTCCAGACCTACTAAACCTTTTGAGACCACCAAGACCGCCAAGACCTCCAGGTCTACCTGGTCCACCAAGTCCTAAAGATCCTCCAAGACCAAGTCTCTCCGGTCTTCCAGGACCGCCAGAACCACCAGGTATGCCAGGAAAACGAAGACCACCTGGATTTCCAAAACCGCCAGGAATTCCTGGCCCGCGCGTACCTCCAGGAAAACGAGGAAAACAAGGTTTACCAGAGCCTCGCGGTTACCCAGGACTTGCAAGCCCTCCAGGACCTATGGGGTGGCCAGGTAAACCAGGAAGACGAGAGAAACAAAGAATACCTGGTTTTCCAGGACCTCCTGGACCTCCAGGCCCACCTGGAAAACCATGTTTGAATTGTCGAGTGCACCATGACCATCATCACCATCACCACGACGACCATGCACACCGTCACGGTCACCGACACCTTCAGCTACATCGCCATGCTGATGGCCACCACCATCATCATGGTCATCATCATCATCACCATCACAAACACCATCACGCTCATCACCACAAACAGCTTCATATTCATAAGCACGGACACCGCCACGATTACGGACACTATCACCGTCATCACCATCGTCACGGTCATCATCCACACATGCACCGACATCGTCATGGACATATACATGAGCATAAAGGCATCTATAAGCACAAACGCAGTCATGAACATGGCCATTTACATTATGGTTGTTTCAGATGGTATAGTCGTTTACTTCCTACAGTCAATGACAATGCCGTTCCCGTTATTCCTACTATCGTCCCTATTATCCCGCCTGCGGCTGCCGTAAATGCTAATAATGCAGCCGCATTAGCTCAAGCTACCAACTCTTTAACTCCCACTAATGTTAACATGCAGCGAACTTCTACATCACATATTAGCAAGCATCTCGATAAGATGAATGTTAGTAAAAATACAAAATTAAGCAAAAGAAGTTTTGAAGAAACGAATGCAAAAGCACTGTCGGCTGAAACACGACTCGAAAGCGCTACTGTTGAAAGAGCGACTGCTCCAGTTTATGAGAGCACTCCTGAGCCGGAAACAACAACTACAGGAACGACAGAAACTTCAAATTCTGCCACAGATTTAGAGACAAACAATTTCGACAACGAAACTATTGAGGAAAGCTTTTTTTCTCCAAAACCGAGTGAAAATGACTTAAAAGAAGACGAAAATTTTATTCTCGAATTCAGATCAGGGGTACTGACCAGTGGTTCGCAAGAAGTCAGTTGGAGCAGAGAAGAAACTAACTATTCTGGAGCTCCTTTAGATGAAAACGGAATGAGCACTACGGAAGAAACGGCTACAGCTGTGACAGATTTAGAACGTGCATCGTCCACTGCGACGTTGAATTTTGGAGACACTTTTTCAACAGTCACCCCAAACTTAGAGTACACATCATTTACAGAACCAGCATCAAAGGCATCTCTAGAGAGTGAGGAGTCAGGCAGTTCAGAGTTTACAGAACGTTCAAATGAAAATGTGTCTTTATCAAATTACGACTGGTCAACCACAGAAGTACCTATAGAAGAACTGTCAACTTTGCCCTCTGTACTAAAGGAGGAGAGAAAAGGTGTTTCATAAAGCTATCTTTTTTTAACGAATCTTGTAATTTTTTCATCCTTTTTAGTAGTAGAATTAAAAAAAAAGCCTTTATTTTTCAGAATGTCCTTGTCCTGAAATAAAAAAGAAAATTATTTTTGCTGGTGACCTAGTCGAATCGAGAATCTTCTCAGAAGACAGCAATGGTTGAGTTGCTTATGATTTTGATACCATTGTTTCAATATCGACTGTTTATGTATTTGAAGACAGTAATTTTGATAAGCTAAAGCATATTCGAACATATCCTAGTCGAGACAGCGCTAGTCAAAAAGTAAATAAGGCACTTTTTCATCTGTCTGTGTATTGTGATCCTGTATCTGCTCCAAAACTGGTTTTTGAAGTTAGTGGCGAAAATGTTCTAAATGAATCTTTCACTGCCGAATCAGCTGTAGTTGTTACACGTGAGTTTTTGGTTTTTTTTTTCTAGTTCTTACGTTTTATATTAATTTTGATTCAAGAAGTTAGTTAAAATCTAAATTTATCATGTCTATTGGCTACCTTTATCAATTTTCTAACTATTTTTACGCGCTTTACTAGAAATCTTAAAATAACTTCAATTTGCAGCTTGCTTCAGCGGTTGTGATATTAGGTGAGACTTGGTTTACGGTAAAGAAATGGTACCAAAGTCAGATTTATCGATGGTTGTCAGGTTAACTATTTTGAATGCAAAGAAGGTGTTAATTTGTACAAAAGCAAAGAAGACAAAGAGCCTGCGAAATCTATTGACGGTCCTGGAAAAGCATGGTTACCTTGCAACTCTGCTTCTCATGAGCTTTCCTGTACTGCAATCTACAACGACGAGTCTTACGATGAAACACGAAAAATCCAATGTTACTGAAGACGCTTACCCTCTTTGCTTTATAATAGAAGGAATGAGTTGTACAGCGAAATTTTGTAACATTCAGCGGAATTCTCAAAATTGACAACAAATTTTGGCTGAAGATTTTTTTCGCTACCACCTACCTTTTAATTTATAAAGAAAAATTGAAGCAAAAATGTTCCTATTTTGATTTCACTCATTCTTCTTTGATAATCTGTTCTTCACCAAAGCACCTTATTTTTTACTGTAGCAATTTAATAATAATGATAATAACAAAAATAATAGCGATAGTAATTACAAAAATAATAATGGTAGATAAGAATGAGAATGATTATATAATAATAATTACAGTAATAGTAATAATAATAATAATCATAATAATAATAATAATAATAATAATAATAATAATAATCATAATAATAATGATAATAATAATAATAATAATAATAATAATAATAGTAATAAATAATAATAATAATAATAGTAAAATGGTTTAATAAATTTTTTGACAAGCACTTTACATTAAACGAAGTGGCATTTAATACAAAATTATTTTTCACCTTGAACTTTTTCACAAACATATTTTTCTAACTTTTGACAGGAATTTTTCAAAACTATAAAAAAAGAAACTAAGAGACGGAATTTGACAAACAAAAAATGATTTAAAGGTTGATAATTGTAGCTCCAAAAACTCAGAAATTTTGAAATTTTTAAACTGCTATCATTTCTACATTCCAATACCAAACTAACAATGACTGACTGCTCGCGCTTCTTTTCGACAGTTTCAATTACTAATCTTTTTTTGGTTGATTTTTTAGCACTTTTTTAGTTCTGTGGTTTTAACGTACTGATTCAGTAAGAGACTGCAGCCAGTAAATCTATTTTTATTATTGGACAAAGATTCAGATAAAGTAACAACATATTAAAAAAATTCTCAGCAAAAAGATACCTGAGCTTACTTTTCGATTTTTCTCGGAATAAATTGAATCAATGCTATTTGATTTTGGATAACAATTGAGTACTTAAATAGAATGAGTTGTTTTTGTATAAAAACGAATTAGAAGTTTTTTCATTTGAACTTTGCATATTTACTACCTTCCTATATTCAAAGAAATCTATTGTAGATTACTAAAGATATTTGAGCTTATTTTTTGATTTTCTTTTTGTATATAAACAAATAAAAGACTTTTTCAATTTGCTTTACTTACCTATTGTCTCCGCAGTTTAATAGAATCTACTTTGAAATAAAATTTTAAAGACATTTATTTAAAAACAGATAGAGAGCTAATTGTGAAAAAAAAAAGTTGAAAAAGTAAGCAGATCGAATGAAAGTAACATTTTCTCGCTTTTACCTAAGCAGTCGTCCGCATGAATTGAAGACTGACATCGGCAACCATGCAGGTAGTTCTGTAAATTTTGAAACTGCCTGTATTTTAAGCATTTGGATTTTAATCATCTTAACCAATTTCATTCTACAAACGACTGATGAGGCAATTTTGAAAAATTGATGATAGAGCAATCACGAGACCGAGCTCCAAAAATTTTGCAGTTTTTTTGTTATAAAAGCAATATCAATAATTTTTGAAATCTTGATGCTAAGTTTTTTCGATGAGTATGGTCAATAAATAGTTCTTCTCTGACTGAATGCGCCTAAGTGCTCGTCTTCTTCATACTGTTCCTACAGCTCTTTTGACAGAGTGCTCTGTGAGAGTTGAATTAATGTGTGCAAACCTGACAAAAGCACTTCCACAGTGTCTTCTGGGTAAACGTTTATTTTAGTAAGAACTAGCAAAAGATTTGTTTTCTTACCAGAATCATAAATAAAGAGACTAAGAAGCAACTGTAAATTTAAAATAGAATTTTAAAAAATGCCAAAACACGACTAAAATTAATTTTTTTAAAGACTTTCTATAACTTACTATAGATTCGTTTTTGGTAAAAACATCGTCTTAGGCTGCTTCGGTACCAAATTTCTAGTCGACAGTCACTGATATAATTCGCTGTTTATTATGCACATATTCTTTTGCACCAATGCTACAGTTCCTGTCATGAGAAGAGGCGTAGGAGCTGCACTTGTCAGTCAGGTGCAGCTAAGAAGAGACCGGTAAAGCTGCACAAAGCTTAAGACGCCGGCTACCTGGGTGAGAGACAATAGATTTCCAAAAAGGTAGATTCGGCGAAAAACCGTACGAGCTCGAGAAAAATCTGTGAGGTGGAGGCACCAAAAGACTTGCTTATAAGGAGGTGTAAAGCATGCTTACTCACATTTCGGCAAAATTTTTGCTTACTGGTTAGACTTTTTTTCTTAACTCTTTCGTTATTCTGCTATTTTGCATTTCTTTACTGACGTTATAGGGTGAGTATTTTCTTTATTTTTTTTTTGTTAACCTCGTACTATTGATATTTTTCGTGTTTTGGATATTTTCTTGTTTAGTTATGGGTTTTGCCTCGTGTAAGTTATCTTATTCCTAGTGTCTTATTGTTTATCTCTTGTCTCTTTTCTGTTAAATTCATTGTTTTTTGCCTTTAGTACTCTAATTTTTTCTCCAATAAAAGTCATATTAAACTGCGAACTCCTAGATTACAGAAATATTGCATTAAGAACCTTAAAATGAAAAATTTTTGTGTCAAAAGATTTTACTTGTAATACACTACTCAAATTGCAGAGGCAATAATGGGAATCGTTTTCATAAGATTTAAAAGGTTTTGGACCGCTTCAAGCTATGTTTCACACAAGGGGACTTCTCATATTTTGATTTAGATTTCGCTGTAACTGGCAAAGGACCTGTAACTTTCCAAAATTGCAACATTGGTTATATTACTGCTATTTACAACCTCGCAGCAGAAACGTGCTACTGATTCTATCACGTGACAAATAACAGGACAGCAGACAACTACTGCACGGCGACTCCAATCCAGAAAAAATAGATTTTCAATATTTCTATAACATATTTCTTTAATCTAAAAAACTACTGAACATCGTTATACGATTTTATTATTATGGCCCAAAAATTTTTCTAAATTATTTTTTTAATTCAGGTTCTTGTCGATAGCATGACGTTGTGAGTTCTCAGTTATAACAATAAGCAAAGTAAAAATAGGCTCAAAATCAAAGAGAAATTCGTTTTTAAGAAATTCAAAGACAACGACAGCAAAACTGATAAAAAAAAAGAAAATTTGTAGCTTTAACAGAAAAGGTGCCTTTATTGTAGTCATAAGTGTTCAGCCTGAAAAATGCTTTTTTTGACTGTCAACTTTGTTTAGTTCTTCCTATATCGGGTTCTCACCCAAAACCTAGTTTAACGTGGAAGCTTCAGACCTGTTTATTTTGTTCTTGTTAACTTTCTAACAGTTTAATTTTTGAAGTTAGTTGTAGGTTTTACAATATTTTACAATACTGCTTCTGTGAAAACCGATGGCATAATGATTAGCACATAAACTTCGCAAGTGCGATTATAGAAGGTACAGCTTATGAAGATACAACTTAGTGTAAAGACGGTCACCAATAATGTGTTCCAAAAATAACCGTGTAACACTTGTAAAAGCTGCTAACTCTTATTGTATACGAGGCTACAGGAGTTATTCAGTTTGATATAAAACTAACTCAGATGTATAATATTACTCTGAATAACGTTTAGTCTCTGTGGCACTTTCAAAAACATTCTGCAGAGACATAATGCACAATTTTCTAAAGTTATTTTTCTAATTTTATAGGTTTTATTAAACGTAATTCTCATGTCTACAGAATAATTCTTAACAAGTTTAGTTTGCTTTACCAAAACTTTTGTTTGGTGTAACAATAGGACATTGATTGATCTACCAAGTAAAAAAATTTGTTCATTTTTTTGCTGGCAATTCTAAAAATAGGTACAACTTCACCAGTTTGTTGCGATTTACCATGCTATAAAGCTTTAGTTTTTGTGGTGAGTCTGCAATGCGAGAATAAGTCACAGCTTTTACAAATGTTATATTGTTATTTTTAGAATGTGTTATTGGGAATCGTTCTAACTTTGAGCTGCGCTTTAATAAGTAGCCCTCAAATAATGCATTTCACCTCTTATACTGCTTTAAGTAATGCATTTCTACCACTTCAAGCACCGAATTTCACTCTTTTTTTTTAAAATGCTCCACGTTTGGGTTTTTTTATCTGTTTTCAATATGG